TTATAAATTGAGCTCAAGGAGTCTTTAGTTAAGGCACTTGTTCTTGTATCAATCAGAGATGTAAGCGGTCAACAAACTGTGACCGGCACTGGACAGATACCTGTTGAACCGAACCGGACTGACCGATTGATCGGCAACTTTTCTAAGGTTTTGACCGGTAAGCGATCGGAACTCGGATTTTCCAAGAACTCTTTTAGGACGGTGAAAAATATGAATATTCCAAGCAATTATTTTTCTTACTGTGAGCAGTACAAAATGCTATTAAATCTACTTTTTTTTGATATAAGCTATTTATTTGAAAAAGTAAGAAATCAGCAATTTTATACTATCTCTACCCACCGAAAGAGAGACAAGCTCCATCATTATCGGCGATAGAGAAAAACAAGAGCTACGCATATTGTGATAACAATTACTTTTTTTTAATCATATTTTTTGATTATGAGCTAGCCGGGACCGGTACAGATCCGACCGGTGCTGGATCGGATCCAGTCAATTGGGTCATTTGATAAGTCTCAACCGGATCGAGTGATACTACCACTCCCAGTCTCGGCTAATGATAATTAGGAATGTATATCTATACAGTACACATTTAGTGTATAGCCGTTTTGATTTATGATTGTAGTCTAGGTACTTTCCTTAGAGAATGTCCAGTTTGCCTGGTCTTGAAAACAGACTGAAGACTTATTTACTTACAGGTGTCTATCTCCTGTGTTTTTTTCTTGTTCTGGTCAGCTGCAAGGTCAGACTAAGAAAGTGATAAGAGCAAGTTAGTCTGTTTTTTTAACTGATCAGACAAACAATAAATCTTGGTCTGATCTTGATGTGTTCTGAGAAACAGACACTGGTCTTGTTTAAGACCAGGGTCAGGTTTTCGTTTTCATAATCACCGTTTTGTTTTGCTAAGTCACGTAGTATACAGTGACCACCACTAATTCTTCGAAAAATTTGAAAGTTATTCTTATAGGTGATGAGTAATATCTTACAGATTTCTGTGCTGAACAGGATATATCTAACAACGTTCCGAGTCTGATGGTTACATGGGAAGAAACTTTAGAAAACTTTCTGTGTTTCTACTGATTTTTGAGCAGGGGATCATATCACAAAAAGCTTAAGTCAAAATTTCGACTTAAGTCTTCGTTATGTACACTTACGTGCTAATTTTATACACTTCGGTGACTTAAATTTTTTCGTGGTACGACCCCCAGTATGAGCAGCACATCTAATTTTTGCATATATACAACAAGCTCGCGGTCTTGATTTCTATCACTAATCAGGCGAAAAACAGATTCTAACCAGGAAAACAGGCAAGGACTTTTGTACTTACAGGTATCTGTGCAGACAAAAGGGAGACCCTCTAGGATTCTGTAATTGGTAGTAAAAAGCTTCTTTCAAAAATATTTCTTTAAAACATCTTCTGAAGCACACTATGAGGAAAACAGGAACAGAATGGTCAAGCGTTGACCGTAGCGCCGTACCACTATAGTCAACATTTTGTCCCTCCTCGTTGGCATTCAAAGCACAAAAACTTTTAGTTGACGATTTTCTGTTCTGAAAATGTATATTAAGTAATTAATTTGGTATAGGAAGTGGGACTAGAGCTGAAAACTGGAAGAAATCAATTTTTTTGCGAAAATACCATCCAAGCTTGCTCACTGTTAATCAAGGCTGATTGTTTGAATGGATAAAAATGACATAATTCAATGGGCTTGTAACGCTGATTTCCTATTGAATCATTCAAGTTAACACAGAAAATATACCGGAAAACATCATTAAACGTAGAGGTATTGCTTGACTTTGCTGTGAAAGGGGTTAATGATGAAAATGAGCCAAACTTCCGAAAGACTGTTTCATCACAATTCATAATTGTATTAATATATTTATTCTATTTATTAAAGAAGAGAATATTCAAATCTAAAAACTGAGCAAATGTATAAAGAAACCCTTTTTGTTTACCTTACTGTATTATCAATGTTTATTCCTGGCTTCATATTTTGGCTTTGGATCTCGTATGTGAAGAAATATCATCTGAATTCGTTACGAATTAAATGTCAACATTTCAAATATGAGTTAAATCAATTACAACTTCAAAATGAAGCGTTGGATAATGAATATTTTCAATTGAAGCAATTGTTCACAAAAAAAAATATTTCAACGACTAAAATCTATGAGTTGAACTTTGTCCAAGAATTGATTGAAAAAGCTGTTGCAGAAAATGAAAAGGCAACACAAATGTATGATTAAATATTATGCAATGGAACAAAAAGAATTTATTTTTTTTTCTAGAAAATTACAAACTATCATTGCTGACGTTCAAAATTTGATCTACCATACTGTGAAGGTGAAATATGGTGAAAATTCGAGTATCTGGTGAGTATGATTCTTTCCGAATTCAACAAAAAAAATTTTTGCAAGTTTTTTTAGCAATCAACTTGAACGTATTTGTTCTTTCCTTGATCAACGTAATAAAGAAAACAACGTGGTTGAACAAAGAGTACATACACTTGAGCATTTAGTAAGTAAAAACTCTTTAGAGTCTTTCAGATCGCCCATTATTTATGTTTTAGAATCGTCAACTTTCTAACGAACTCAATAACATCCGTCAAGCAAATGATGGTCTTAGAAAAAGGTTTAACATTACGTTATTTACCTTTTTTAGCGAGCATAAAATGTCTTTCGTTTTTCAGACTAATTACTTACTCTTCAAAATATGTTGATAATACTATAGAAACTTCTAATAATAAATCTCAAACAAGTATGTCATAGCACTTGTTTAGCCTTCTTGCCCTCCTTCAAGACTTACCAAGGAAATTTTCCGGTAGTTAAACACTGAATCATAGAAACTAAAAGACTTTGACCTAACTTTTGAGAACACAAACTCAATGACTCTTGGATGCTTGAGAAATCTCCGTTCTCCATTTTGACAATTAAGACCATCCTAAAAGTTCACTGTGTCGATTCGAAATTTCCACTAAAAGTAAATACGTATATAAGATCAAATCTCCGATGTCTTGTATTGTATTTTGAAAAAAATGTATTCTGAGTCAAGCTATACGGTTTATCTCGTTAAAAATTTTTATCAAAACGAAAAAAAGGATCTTTGAAATTTAGTTTCTTATATATGTGTTAGAAATTTCAGCTTCATCCGATGAACTTTTAGGGGTTGTAGATTGAGAATGGAGATCTTTCGAAAATCCAAGAACCATCAATTCTGTGATCTCAAGAAACCACAGTAGTCAAAGTCTTTTAATTTCTATGATTTGATGGTTACCTATCGGAAAATTTCATAGCGAAGGTGGAAGGGTGAAGACTTTTTATACCGCTTCGGACTATATGTTCATGTTTTTTAGTCTCCAAATTTAACCGCAGACAACTATCATCCTCAAAAATGTTGACAAATCATAGAGGTTAGTTGGTTCATTTATACTCTAAATATTCTGAAGTATATGTCTAATATTTATTTTAGGAACATACAATTTATGGTCATTCATTCCACCGCTCCCACCTTGGCTATTTTCTAAGTAAGACTTTTGGTGAATAGAATAATTAACTCTGCAGAGAACAAGAATGGCGCCTGTAAAAATCTAGCTCAATGCTGCTGCACTGCTATCGAATACATAAAAAAGCAAGCAGTGTTTGTCTTTCAATTATGAGAAAATGACAAAACATATTTTTCTACAATGTACGTTACCTCAGTTTCAGTGTAAATAAAATCTTAGACAATGTATGCCATTCATTATTGCGCAGGAGTACAAGATGACAAACGTATTTAGTTAATTGTGCCATCGCTTTAAAGTTACTAGAGACTCAGACATTCATTTTTGAAAGAATCAAAAGAAGATACCACGACTGGTTTCGACCTTTCTCAGGGGTTTCGTCAGGTGGTTTCCTTCGAGGAAGACAGAGTTGAGGCACGACAAGCAACACAACTCCGTCCACACCGTATGAAGGTGTTATGTGCGTTGTTCTTCTCGAACAAAGAACGATAACCTTCATGCAACGTGAGCGAAGTACGATATCACTGTACATTGCACATGTTCTGCTTCTATACATTAAGTATTTCTTTTCATTCTATCAGAAACGATTCATCCTTTCATCATAAGTTGTATCTAGTGACTTTCACTCAACAACCGTCGAGATAAATGTGAAAAGCATCATACTTATGGTTCGATCTTGGGAGGTGGTCACCCATCTTCGTACTAATCGTAGTTTTGACACAATGGAGAAAGACATTACGTTACAATTCTCCATTTTATAGTGACTAACTCCATAATAATGCATGGTTTGATCTTCAGACGTGGTTACTCATCCTCTTACTAGTCAGACTCGTTCACAGTGGAAAACGACAGAATTAGTCATAATTCTTCGATTAAATATGCGAGTTTTGTGCAGTTTTGAAGAATAAATCTATATAAATGTGAAACTCGACTTGAATAATTATGTTTAGTTAATTTTACAACCGCTTTGTAGTTACTAGAGATTCAAACAGAATTCATTTCTGAGAAAGGTCGAAACTAGTCGTGATATCTTCTTTTGATTCTTTCAGAAATGAATTCTGTCTGAGTCCCTAGTAATTAACTACAAAGCGGTTGTAAAATTAACTAAATATAACTATTCAAGTCGAGTTTCACATTTATAAGATGATAAACGAATTTTTTTATAGATTGCCAACGTTGGCTGAAGATTATGGTGAAATAAAACCCATCAACTCACAATGCTCGGCTTGTAAGTAGATAACGTCTCAGAAAGGGCTCAAGGTTTAATTTTGATCATCTAATTCAGTGTATCATCCACATTATTACTGGTATCCTCCATTTGCTCAACAATCTATGAAAGTAGGTAGAGAAACAAATGTCGAAAGATGCTAAAATTAATCTTAATCAATTTTTAGAACCCTCTAAATTCTTGAATGCACGTTAGTGCAATACACATTCAAGGGATATTTACATTATTGTTTCGTTATTCTACACTAAAACAGTTATAAAAAGTTGTGCTCGGTGCTTTTATTTATGAACAATAAAACCATTTCTAACAATATTTTTACTTGGTTGTGGCGGATCATAAAACTTTGCTTGTTCAACTTCACGTTTGGGTTTTGGTAATTTCGAGCCGCGTTTCGCTCGATTAGCTAGAATAATTTGCATTGTTTCTTCGTACGAGTGAGTATTTAAATGATTCTTAGCAGGAGCAGGTGGTGGGAGAGGATTGTTGAAAGGTGCCTTGATACGATGTCCTTGATTTGTAACGGGTTTGACATTTTCATGAACGATTGTTCTGGGTGGCGGTCGTTGAGAAAATTGAGGTTTATCATCGACGACAGTAGAGGCGACACGACGCATTGGACGTTGAACATGCTAAAATAATCAATTGTGAAATATAGAGATGAATAATTAATTTATCAAAAATAGAGAACTAAATGTGAAACGAGTTAAAAAGTTGTTTCTTACTTTGATGGATTGAGGTCGTGATCTCTCTTCCACGACATATTCAATTTGATTATCATCATAACCGTTGTCCTCCTCAACAACGATATTTTTCTTAATAATTTGACGTCTAGGACCAGATCGTGAACCATATTGGATAAGTTCGTATGTGTCATACGGGTCATCATCCTCATAATAATGATTTTGATCGACATCAGCGTAATTATTGTAAGTTTGTCTCTTGGTTCTTAACTGAGTTTGATGTTGTTTATGTACTCGTGTTGGTTGTGGTTGTAGGAACGAGCCTCCTGATTGTTCGAATGTCGTTTCATCATCATCATCATTCAAATCATATTCATCACCATATTCTATAGGAATATGATAAATTACTTTCCTATCAGCATACTCTTTTTCAACTATTCGATAATCTCCACCACCAAAATCGTTCGTACTGGTAGTAATATACTTTTGCATGATGAGAAGATTTGAATTTGTCGTGGAATATTGAATAGTTATTCGTCGAATAATCAATGTCTATGATCCATTTTACAGATCATACAACTCATTTCTTTTTCTCTTGTCAAAAAAACATGAGAAAATTAAATACAAATGTTTTTTTCAAATGATGAAATAAAATATAATGAAAAAGAAAAATCTGATCGTTTTTTGCTTGTCTATTTGTTAGAAGAATCCATGTGAAGTCTTTTTTTTTTTTGTATGTCATGGCAAATAAATTTGAGTTTAAACAAAATTAATAGATATTGTTTTTTTTGCCAAAGAACAACAAATATAGTAGTTGTACAATTATAAATAAAAATAAATTAACTTTTTTTTGATAATAATACAATATTCTAGAGAACGAAACCGTTCTATTTAATAAAATGGAAGAGTCTGTTTAAAAAAACCTAAGATCAGAAGCCAGCATATATCTACACGATTGTCAACGTTTCGCTTTGAAATGATGATTATAAAAAGTGACACTTTCCTGTTCAAACCATCTGTTTATAGATAATCTGGAACATCAACCACGTAGAATGATTCTCCGAAATTTTGTAAACAAAAAGAATGATGAAACAAAGTTTTTCATAACTTAAAGTATTGTGATGACAGTATCTGATGACATTTCACAAGTAGTAGGATATCACATTCGAGAATCTATTCAACATTTTGAACGATGGAGCAACAGCTTAGGCAACAGAGTCTTATATTTATCAGCAGAAAATTTATTGAATTTTCGTTTACTTTTTTTGAATTTTTACAGGGTGTGATAGAACTCTGATAAATTTCTCGGCTCTAATCAGAGATGGGATAAAATTTTTTCAAGAACCATGTACTTGACACATGGACACAGGAAGTAGGCCGAAAATGCTGCGGAGTGTGCGGAGCCCTACTGTTCTCAGTACTTTGTAAAAGAAGCGTAGATTAAAAACGAGAAAAAAGATTTAAGAACAGTATGCTGTACATAGTGAACGTCTAGATTCTATCTCAACTATCGCAAGTTAAATGTGATAATATTGGATAAGATTTCTGACATAAGAAGGTTACTATTCTCTGAGATTTTCCTTGAAATTAATGTTAGAAACATTGTGAAGCAAAAAACGACTCTGTGTTGCAGTTATCGAGAGAAGGTCTTTCCAGAATAGATCCAGCAAAGATGTGCAAGGACAGCACACGAAATAACAAATTTTTCTAAGTAAAAAATATTTTGGAACTAAAGAATTTAATAAACAGAACAGTTGTTTTGACCACCTTTAGAAAGGAGTAAGTTCCTTCTCTATTTTAAAGTATGTTGTAGAGCTCGTCAAGTTACATATATTCAGAAATATTTTCCATTGAAAAGTTTACCTTTTAAGTCTCCAGTTGAGGTCAACTGGAGAAATAAAAAGTATTTTTCAAGAGTTCTCACACTGAGAATAATAAACAAGCTGAAGTGAAAGTTCCGCGCTGGCAAAACCGCTGCGCAAACTTTTTTCAAAAATTAAATATAGTAAAATTTAAAATTAAAGTGTTTAAATTCGATTTAAGTTAAAATTTTTCTACTATATCACACAAAACGGACCTTACCCTGACAAATTATTAATTTACTGTAGTTGATTACCCATGTTCCATCTAATAATTAGTTTTCGTGTGTAAGATTCGACATGTACACATCTTTCGAAATATTTTTTTTTTAAAAAGAGGTTCATGAACGAAACTAATCGGTGTTCTTGTTTTTATACGTTTTAAAACGTTTTTTGAATGGTAAATCTGCATGAATACAATAGTTGTAACCAGATTCAGTTTCATCCAGCACAAAATAATTGAAAATTTTTTCGATAGAATATGAAACTCGTTTGATCTTTAACTTTCATTAAATTGTTTTGTCTTAGAAGTGTATCATGTAAGCGGAAAAATTTCAATAAATCCTTGATTTTATTATCTATTATACACACTGTTTTTCGACTATGTGTAGCACATGCATATTACACAATCACCTGTACACGAACAGCAATATTACTACGCATGAAGATATATTTTTTTGCTGCCTTCTCAATCGTGAACAAATTATATTTTTCTTCTTTTTTTGTCTTATAATTTTTTCTAATAGTTGTACTGTTTCACACACACACAAATAATAGAGACAAGTAACGTGATTATATAAGTCAGCATGTTTTGTTTACAACGATTAAAATGCTTCCTTGTGCTTAATTAACTGATAATTTAAATAAAAACATTATGACTTCACTACAAACAGATATTGATGTTAAAAAGGAAAAAAAAAAACCAAAATATCGTTTATTTTTGGAAAAACTGGTATATGATTGGACTCTTGATTATTCCGCCATGATAGCATACAGTCTATTGCTGACAATTGTGCCAATTGCTATTACATTATTTGGTATAGTATCGTTAGTATTGGGACAAAATGCTAACTTAAAAAATGCAGTAAAGACAGGAATCCTCAAATCATTTCCAGCTGATATGCGTGATAGTTTATCAGTTATATTAAATAAAGCACTTGATCAGTTAGTGCAAGATGCGGATATTATTTTGATTATGGGTGTTGCACTTGCGATTCTAGCCGGATCAAGATTATTTATAGCTATCGATGATTGTCTAACAATCGTTTATCGTACACAAGAGCGACCGTTCTTAGACCAAAATATATTAGCGATTAAAGCGTTATTAATATTTATTTTAATTATTCTAATTATGTCCGCTGCATCTTTCGCTCCAGCAATGCTTCAAAGTTATATTTCGAATGCATTTCTTCGCTTTATGATGTACGTAATCGGAATTCTGATTAGTTTAGCTTCATCATTTCTTCTATTTGAATTCACCTATACTTATGTGACAAATAAACGAATGACATTTAAACTGACATGGTTTGGTGCACTGGTAGCTGCTATTCTAATGCAATTGTTTTTAATTTTATTTCCTTTTTATGTATCAAATTTCATGTCAACTTATGCCGGTGAGATTGGTTTTGCCATTATTTTGTTATTCTTTTTCTATTATTTTGCTGCAATATTAATTCTCGGCGCCCAAATTGGTTCATTCTTTTATGAAGAAATGCAGCCGTTTCCCTGTGCATTCGGAACATTTGTTCAAAACGCATATCATGAACATACTGATGGTGAAGGTCAACAATTGTTATCAAAAACTGCTGATTACTCAAAATTTACATAGAAATTGTTTGTCACTTTCTTTTGAATTGTTAATTTATAATTTAAGCAATTCAATATAAAGTCACATGTATTCAACAGACTAATGGTTTATTTCATTTTTCTACAACTGTTCATTTTAATAACACAAAAAAAGTTACGAAAGATCGTGCATTACACTTTTACGTATTAGCAAGTATACGTTTTTTTAACATGCGAATATTTCCTGCTAGAATAAACTCTTATTAAAAGATCTGTATGAAAATCTATATAATTCATATTCATATCTATCCTTTCTATCAGGTTTTGTCGACAAACTTATATCACACATATCTGATGAGTCAAGAGACGTGCGCGCGAGAAAGAATGTTTTCTGTTGATGACTCGGATCTATAAACAACTCTGTTTGCTACAAACTGATCGAACACCTATATGACAATGATCTTTGTAAGTGTTTTGAATCCGACTTTTATCGAAAAACGTCTTAGAAGTGTCTTCACAAACAAATTATGGCTTAAAATAAGACATTTTTCGTGAAAAAAAGATACATTTAAGACAGTTTTCGACGAACATACATAGAGTAAGTCACTTATGTTTACAGTGTGATCTCGAATACACCTTTTCTGTAACGCTGACAGCATTAATAAAATTCCAAAACATGCTGATTTTTTTTGGAAAATTTTTTATTTCTCAACACATCTCGTCTCTAACAGAGGTTTTGTGATGGATGAGCCGAAGAAATAATGGATAACATTAAGCATCCTAACTTAGTTCAACAGCGCTTCAGGAAAGATTGTCTTAAGGGCCCCCTCCCTCAGAAATTATCTCCGACACCGTACATCCGATCTTAACGAAACTTTCCATAAATGTTAGGCACAATGAGTTACGGGAATAAAAAAATTTTTTTGTTTCCAAGTCTTACGGTTTAGGAGTTTTCCAGAGATCAAGGTCCAAAAAGCACCCTGAAGTGCGTCCGAAGATTTTTTAATATACTTCAAGCTGGAGAGTTTGGATTTGTTTTATTTTAAACTAGACACCTAACTACATGAAGTGACCGGCATCGATTTGTCAATTAAGCCTTTATTGGTTTTCCAGGCAACCAACAACCTCCAAAACCCGAAAAGCCTTCCGGATTTTCTAAAACTCCTCAGTTTGACAAAAAACTAAGACCTAATTCAAAAATCAACGCCAGTCAGTCCATGTAGTTTCTTCTCCTCTTTTAAACAAAAAAAGAATAAACTCTCTACGACAAACTGCTATTAAAAATCTTGGGACGCACTTCAGGTGTAACTCTTATATAGAGAAAAAGGTGTATTAAATGCTGTATGAAATACTCGATTTTAGGACTTGTAGGAAAATGCCTGTAACTTTTTGATACAAGGTCATACAAAGTTGTGCGAGGTCTTACTTTGATCAGAAACGTTTGCTCTACAAAGCTGTGTGTTCAAAAAAATTTTAATTGCATAAATGTCCACGAAAAAACTATTATTTGAAGACCCGATTTTTCGAGGCTCTTAGAAAACTTGTTTAAAATCCCCGAAAAACCAGTTTTGTAACCAAAAGCAATACAGATTCTGGAAGCAGACACTTCAGGCTATCTTTCTATGTGCGCATCTCAAAACAGATTTTTTGAACGAAAATCATCATTTCTGAGGAAGGGGGCCCTTAAGATAAAGACGTCAACTTCCTTCCAATGCAAACAATGAAAATTGAAAGTAACACATGATTAGAAACTTGTTCCATAAGAAATCTGTCCTAAAAGCCATATGTAAATGCGATGAAAGCAAAAAATAGACTTTTAATGATCATACATCGATCTTCAGGCCATGATCAGCCGTTAGCTTAGCCAATATGCATTTTGATACAAAAAAACTAAAACAGATTCATGATCATCATACAAAAACTGAGTGGAATCAGGCAGATATTATCCAAAAACGTTTATTTTCCAGCCCTATGAAGTATACCTTGAAGAATCATTTGACGGAGACCGAATATGCTTTTTTAGTCGAAAGATAAATTCTGGTATTTTTGAAGACAAAATGTTTAACGTTGTCCAAAATGTTAGGGAGAGGAAGGTCTGAGAAAAGGTTTTAAAAGTATTTTTTGTTTTTGCAAACCATATTTTCGCCACGAAATCGAGTCCGAACAAGACAACAAGGTATGCATTTGATATGCGTCTTTTCAAGCTCCATCCAATGAAGTGGTTCTGATTGAGATTTAAAAACATTTAACAATAGAAAAAAGTCAAAACTTTTAAAAGCAATATTCTACGTATACAGATTCTAATCTGACAGTTCGAGTTCAAAAAGTGTTTCATTAAAAACTGATGAAAATATCCGTTCTGTTAGAAAAATGGAGCAGTATGGGAGCTCTCAGGAGGTCACCATCCCGTTGTTTTTAAAAAATTTTGTGATATTCGTCATCAGGAGCTCAAGTTGCACTAGACCTGTTACTCTTCAACAATTCAGATAAAATCTGTAGATTTTCGAAAGAATTATCTTCCAGCTAGTCAAGCAAATCAGCAGAAAAATAACAAAAAATGCCTTTGGGACCTTCTGTAAAATGAATACAGTTTAACATAAGAATGTTATGGAGAACTCTCTTTTATTCAAAAAAGTTTGGTTTATACGGACGGCTAAGACGTGTGAACAAATTTTCAATCTGTGGATTTAGTTTTTTGCAGAATCTTATATCAGGAAGTTTTAGTGGAACTTGCATACACATCGCTTCTGATTGAACACTCTTTCAGCTGTTGAAATTACTTTCAGATTTGTTCTGCCTATGAAGATCGAAAAAAAATGTTAAAACTAAATCGTTTCTATAATTTTGCACGCAATTGTATATCTAAGAAAACTGAATGATATTTTTCACCTTGGATGTTATACGGTACCTATTGTTTTCTCACTTCTCTATTTGGGCCGCTGCCAATCGCTGCAAAACTGAACTGTTCTCTTATTGTTTAAATATTGATTGTATTTGTCTTTTAATTTGTTTCTTTCCTGTTATTATCTATTAAAATTTCTGCCGTTTCTAACTATACGCGGATATGATTACGTACAATTCATCCATCATTTGTTATATTATACAGATATATTACGCTATCACCGTTCAAACCGTTTGTCTTCTACACATTTATAAAAATTATGGAAAAACATAACAAAATTAAAACCAACGCCGTTCTGGTAAGATTACTTTTTAAAAACATTCGTCAATTCAGATAACTTTTGTTTATATGAGAGCAATGACAGAATGTGACTTGAACTAGTATTCCAAGCTCCTATAAGCAAATAATCCACGTAACATAGTTCCATTGCAATAAAACCAGTAGTGTGCAGAAAATATGGGCGGACCAGGAAAATGTTTTAGAGGGGGAAGGCAATAAATATTTTCGAGTAGTGCATACACAAACGTGCTTCCCTTCATAATTTTTGCCCGTGCTAACACGCTTCATTCCTTTATTTAAAGTGTACATCAAATTTTTCGATCAAGAATTGCTCTTACTTTATTTTGAACTTCGGACAGATACTCTCAAGGGGTAAAAGGTGACTTTTTTCTTTCTTAGCATCGGATGCTGAACATCTCAGGCTTCGGAAAGCACCCGGAGCCGCCTTTTCCCCCTTGAATACTCTGCTGCGAAATATAGTTCTTCACAGGGCGGTAGCTGCTTATTGCCCTTGATATTTTTTTTCCAGGAGGGCAATTGTCCTGCTGGTGGCCCGCCAGTAATTACTAAGCAACTACCTAAATTACGCGTAATACATAAAACTTGTTTTACGATAAAAAAACCTTTTAATAGACAAAATCAAAGGTGCAAGTTAAACAGACTTAGGCCTCGTCTACACTACAAAAGTTAACGGAGCTTTAAGCAATTCTATTGGCTAAAAGTTAGTTTAAACCAATAGAATTGCTTAAAGCTCCTTTAACTTTTGTAGTATAGACAAGGCCTTAAATAATAACAACTAAACATTGTTCATATAGTTGACTAATGTGGTTGGCCAAAAATTAAAGATGGTGTACAACTTTTATTTTTTCTTATCAACTGGGCCAATATCACACGTGAACATGAAAAAATAATTTACATAAAATAAAATGTCTAATATGTTGAGTCATTCGTATTATACTTTTACATTGTACATGTAACTTTACGACGATAAATATAGAAAGAAAAAGAACAGTGTATACAAGCGGAAAAAAAAGAATTATATATATATACGTAACTTTTTCACAATCAGATGTTTTTATAGTTTATACATGCGACAATGTTGATATAGAATATAAATGCCAAAACAAATCGAACAACAAGGATATATATTTAAGGTGTGATTTTATTCTTTTTGAATTTTTATATCGAAATTTTTGATTGTTCGAAACATGAGAAACATCTATATACATTTATGATTATACATTAATATGATATGACTACAGTAATAATAGATAATAGTACGATTTTAAAAAGTAAGAAGAAATCTCTTTTCGCACATAACGTTTGTTGGATGTCGGCAAATGTCTCCTTCTGATGTTTTCTTGTTTAAGCTGTGCTGTTCTACTCACGTCAGAAATGTGTAATATATCTCATATCACCGGAACAAAAAATAAAGGTGGTTTTGAGTTGCTGAAAAGTGTTTTTTCGTGTTCAGCACACTCGATAACCCAGAAGATTTTCTATTTTTAGCGAGGGATACTTCAAAAAGTTTAGGAAAATTTTTCAAACTAATATTACTTTCCTATGGAAATTTTTCTGCGCCATTTTGTTTCAAAAATTTTTCCTAAACTTTTGGCAGTACCTCTCGCTAAAAATAGAAAATCTTCGGGATTATCGAGTGTGCTGAACACGAAAAAACACTTTTCAGCAACTCAGAACCAACTTTATTTTTTTCCGGTGATATGTATGCGAAAGGCTATTATCTTATTATGTGTTAAATTCCTATTATTAATCGGTCATGTGGAGAACAATTTCAACGCACTAATTTCACTGATAGATGTCGTTTTTAATCGATTAACTAATGTTTGAGCAATCATTTCACATGCATTCTGCAGCAATTTTGAGCAACTTTTTGAGTTAATATTGTACGATTAGCATAGGTTTTAGAGTAAGGACAAAAAAAGGACATATATTCAGCTTTTCTGATAGAATTGGTAGAGATTAGTTACTTTTTTTGAAGATTTTTGCCGACAAAACCACATCTATTTCTTTATTATGCCATCTAGGAGCATTAGGCAGGCAACAGTTATAGTTAACTGTCAAAAAACTGTAACTGGTGCATACCTAGTTACAGCAGTTACAAAATAAAATTGTACCCAAAATAATTACTTCCAACAACAACGAGAGAAATGTTATTTGTTCACTCATTCTCACTATTCTCATCTCCCGATGAGTAGCGCAAAATACATCCGATTTTATTAATCAGAAGAAACTTCATATTGAAAAGCGTCACCTATCGCGATCACTCAAGCATCGGTTGAAGGTTCTAACAAATCTAGAAAGTCAAGCACATAAAAACCAAAAAATGCTTCAGAATATTATACTAAGTTGAAAAAAATTCATACCTAGTCAAGTTCATGTCATATTATCCGCAGTATCATTTCATCATCATCCGCAGTATAATTAAGATTTAACCCTGAATTTTCCCTAGAAAGCAGCACTCATAAATATTCCAGATCGATATCAAATAAATTATGAATAAATATAAATTACTTAACATGGTGTTGTACTTTACTTTAGATTATCGTCAATTTTCTATTATTCTTACTATTTATTTGTGCATTGAATATTTACTTTGAACCGAAGTCTATTTATGATCAATCTTCAACGAAACAGTTTCCATTAACATGCACTTGTCGAAATCATTTAAATCAAACCGTTGATTGGTTTATTATTTATAAACTCCCTCGTTTAGGGTCATCTGAAAATATTTTCATTAAAAATGGTATTGGTTATATGTACTTGGACTCATCATCACCGTTAAATCAATGGCATCTTTCAACAGAGAGTATAACATCAAATTTATCCATCGTTGGTCTTACACTTCAAACACTTTATGATAATTTTTCATCATCCGCTTATATTTACTATAATGATCAACCACCAAATCGACCGTTTACAGTTAGTTATGGACATTCAAAAGGCGTTTTGGCATTTGATGATCAAACAGGATTTTGGCTTATTCATACTGTACCACATTTTCCACAAATATACAATGACGGTTATATCTATCCCGATACAGGTAAGATTACTAAAAAGAGAAGAAAGACAATTGTGAAATACTTTCTCATCTTCTAGGTCGTATGTATGGTCAGACAATGTTTTGTATCACTTTAAATACGACTACACCTCGTAACACTATCGAAGAAATAAGTGAACAATTTTTTTACACTCATCCATTAGTGTACGACTATCGTTTACCAACTCAATTTGCTACAAAATATCATAATTTAACATTAGTTACGTTAAATAAATCTCATGTCACACAGGAACCGTATTATAGAATTAAATCATTAGAAACCATTAATCCTCAATTAGAAATATTATCTTTTGCTAAATATGGACTAATGAAAATTGATATTATCAGTGAATTAATTGCACCAAAACTACAAACAAATTTGTATAGGTAATTGATCATATGACATAGATTAAACTCTATTCTACGATTTTTCTTTCTTTCTTTTTTTTAGTGAAACATGGTCAAATGGAAATCCAAATATACCATCAAACTGTACGGACATATATCATACAGAAAATATTCAAAAATTATCATTTTTTAATAAATACAATTTTACTGTTCATTCTGATCATTCAAAGTGGGTTATTGGTCAAGATGTTAAGTTGAAACCATGGCTATGTATAGGTGATATGAATCGACAATATGAACAAAAATTAAGACATGGTGGATTTGCATGTTTCTATAATAGTGACATTCAACAAAGATTTTTAGAATTGATACAAGGAGCAGAAAAATGTCCAATTTGATACCATAGACAATCTAGTTTTTTTAACAACGTTTTGTATTTTTGTATATAAAATATTTCCTAACGTTTCAGAAAAATGTTTATAAGAACATTCAAGAAGATTATTCTTAGATCGATTCAGTAGTTGCTACAACGAGAAACAATATATATTTTTCTGATCAAAAAATTGTTTAGTCAAAGCTTTTATAAAAAGTTCACTATACAAGCAAATCGAAGAACGTTAATATATAATATTGAGCTTTCCTATAGAAAAGCATACTATTGATGCTGAATGTATTCTGTTGGATAGTTAACTCGATCCGTTTTTGCTATTATTGTACACTTCGTTTTTCTTTTACTTTTACGATATATCATTCGTAATTATTATGTTGCGACGTATATATAATACAGTTCATTCGGTTCAACTATCTAACTTTCCAGAAAGCCAGTACGTCGTTAAGGTAATTGTATGAGGTGCTCAACACAGTGGACATAAGTACGAAGTATATTCGGCAACTTTAACAATAAACTTTTCACGTTTTCAAACACGCTCTATCGAATGGCTGACTCAGAATTTTATTCTGGTAAAAAGTGTTTTTTCTCGCATTTAGAGTTTAGGCAAAATTTTCTCAAAACTACATTTTAAATCAAACAGCTACATACTAAATTTTAATACAAATGCTCCTAGGCGAGAAAATCGGATTTTATCTGAAAAAGAACTGCATACAGCTGCATGCACCATAGATGCAGAGTACAAAGAGGAGCATTTAGGTGTGTTGCGGAAACTCATTACACTAATGACACCTATACGAAAAATCATTTAACTAGAAAACTTGTTTTCTTCCACCGGAAGTATAGGTCCAAAAGAAAAGATATTTTCACTAAAAGATAGATGAAAGCGGCTAGATTCACAATATGAATCTTTTTTGCTTTTAAGCCTCTTGCATTTTATAGAAAATCAAATTTTTTCCATAGGCTAGCGTGTTTTAGCTAATTTTTTACTATAGGTTTTCCAACGAACCAAGAGACTTGAAATAAAAAAATGTATGTCATTAAATAGAGCATAGCTTAAAGTGTATTTACTCTTGTTCAAGTCAGAAAAAAGTTTCCTTTCGATTTTTGGCCAAATAACCCGATCGTTGTCTGTCCACTGCGTTCCAGCAATTAGGCAAAAAAGAATTGCGTTGGATCAGTCGTCGGTCCAGAGCTGCAGTTAATGACCATTAAAAAGATGGATGATCATGTTAACTGTAGGGAGGAGGTATCAATAACTGGCGGTGGTAAGCACTTTACACCGGTACCAGTAGTCGTACACTGGGAAAGTCTTCCTTCTTCCACTTCTATAAATTTCCAATGTAATGTATAATGGCATTATCTCTCATTTAATATGGTTACAATTCAATAATTACAGCATATTTGGATCATTCGTATGGGAGATTCTTTGAATATGACAGACATTATTAATATTGAATTTAATTCATTGACTAATGGCTATTTTCAAGACGACATTGATCATATTATATACAATTTACATTCCATCACGAAGATTCTGTCGAAGAACATATATCATGTAAATCGAACCTTAATTATTTACAACAACGGCTTGGCCAGCTAACTGTTACCACTCAAGTAGGAGATTGAAGTATGAAACTAATCGAAACCAATGATAGCACTAGAAAAAGCAACTAGAATAGTATATTGACTCGATACGAAAACCATCAAGAAGTGCCATTAGGCTCGCTATTGATTGGTTAAACGTTTTAGGAAAAACGTTGGTCTTTCCAGTGATCATATTCCGAAAATGTACAGAGGTTGAGAAATTTCAAAAATAAAACATCTACATTCATCGTAAAATTCCGTCACGAAAATTGCGTATTTTGTGCTTTTCATTCAAATAAAGAGCTAAACTGATAAACAAGTCCCATAGACCGATAGATCTCCTCGATGAGATCTATCGAATAGATTATAATTTACTGGATTTTTATCAAGTTTTGAGAGAAAAAAATGCGAAATACAGCGTGACGTAATTCCATTTTTGAGTACAACATGTATTAAAAATGCATTTTTGACCAGAAATCGAAAATTTTTTTCTCGCAAATTAGGTTGACATCAACATCATTCAACGCAGTTTTTTAAGCTGATTCCAAATATAACACTGGGAAAAGTTCGAAAAACATTTCAATTATTCAATTTCTCAGTTTAAACTAAATTTAGAATCAAAACATTTCCATTGAAAAACATCTGAGAGTGATTAAAAACATTTTTGAGCTTATACCCGATGATTGTCTCGCTTAAAAACTGCACAAATTTCAATTTTGATGCTATTTAACAATAGCAACGTCGCAAATGCATCGAAATTTTAAATTTGTTATCAGCCATCAGCTATTATATTTTCTTAACAAAAACTGCTCAGAATGATGAAAGAGAGGCACGCATATGATAGAGAACCAAAGAGAGTTGACTGGGTTCGTTTGAATATCGAATTTATGGCAAGCATAACCTTCTACATTGGAAGCATGAAATTCCGTTACGGTCGATATTCTGCTCATTTTATTTGATCTTAGTGGTTAAAACCAAAATTAAAGATATATTCTGAAAGCTCAAAGATTGGCGAACATTTTTCTGTAATGTATATCAAACAACAGTGCCTTAATTCAGAGAGGTTCGACGTTCACAGAGTACTCAAAACAACTTTCTTTTTTTTTAAAATTCCGTCACGGTCTCTATTTTTGCTATAACTGCTGATCTATTGCACCGGTCAAACTCACACTTTCAGAATTTGAAGAACCTACTATTATACATATTTGATAAAAATTTCATCGCAATCTCGTACAAGGTTCCGGAGATGCAACATAAAGAAGTCGAAAAAGTGTAAGTCTGTCATGCTTGACCAAGTCGACAAATATCTGTAATTATATTTATACGCCATATTTGTTGATAATGCAAAGAAGGATGAAATACGAAAAGATAGATGAGAAAGTAAAAATTTTGTCAAAATACAATCTGTACATTCAATTCATTCTGGTACTTCTCAAGGTGCACTTCGCTAAAGTGGCAAAAAAAAAGATCGTTGGTAAGTTACGATAGTTTTTAAAGTTTAAAAATCGTTTATTACTATATATTTCTCTCAAATCTAACTTTGTATGAAAATAAACTAAAGAAAAAAAGTCTAAAAGGCATGCAAAATAATGAGTATTAAATAGATATATGAGTATTTGCATGTGAATCACGATTACGATACTTAATTTCTATGTCACATTTTGATTATGCACCGAAGCCATTTAAAGTACTAAGACTTTAATAGAAACTGTCTGATATTCAAAGTTTATGAAAAGTTCGTTCTAAAAAGCAGTATTAAGAAACGTAGCTACTGAATAATGGTAATTAGAATAAGATGATAGGTTATCTTCGCCAAAATTCATTTGTCTTATGTCACTGTGAATGTCTTCGATGCATAAATCTAAAATGTACAACATCAATTAAATACATTTCATCATGATACACATGTTAAGACTTATATAAATTGATTTTTCTAAAAGATATATTTTTCAAGGTCACAACTACTTTTGATATTGTTAGTCTCTTGATTTTGAACGTTTTGTATCTTTTAATAATACTTGTAATAATTTTGTACGTTTTAAAGTTTCTAACGGAGTTTCATATTCATAAGGTGAACTATTTCTTCCATATTTGACATTTGTATCATCTTTAGTTCCAGAGTTTAGTGGTGATAATAATAATTTTAAATGTTTTTGTAATTGTTCTAGTTCATTAAGTATGGTTTGCATATTAAAATTTAATTGTTCTAATTCATTTTCATATAATTCACGTAATTCATAATCGAGTGTTTTTTCAATTTTATCATTTAATTTTTGATGATTACATGCCATCAATGCAAATTCTGTACGTAGTTTTTTTATACGTGAATAAAGATGACTTTTAGCTGTTGGAGTATTAGATGAATTACGATCAAATGCACGTGATGAAGAAGTTGAACGAAAAGAATTTGTTGTAGTTATTGGGCGTCCTAAACGATGTGTTGGTGAAGAGGATGATGATAGTGGACGATGATGACGATAATCAGTATTACCAGATTTTAATGTATCATATTCTTTAGATGTTAAACAGAGATGATGATTATGACTTTTTAATAGAGCAATTACCTAAATAATGAAAAAATGAAAATAATAAATTATAAATAATAAAATTTAAAATTGAATATTTACATTTTGCACATTTGACATTAGATTATGACTGGGTGATGTTGATGCACCTAAAATAAATGGTACCGTATTTAAATCTAAATGATAGTGACGTTCACCATCTAAAACTAATTGTTTATTGCGTTTTGTTCGCTTTGATAATGGACGACTTTTTCGTTTTGATCCTTTTGTTGATCCACTACATGGTCGTTTACTAATAAATGGTTGTATAAATTTTTTTTTTGGAGATGAATCAAGACCATCTTCCATAAGTTGACGTATTTTTCCATGTTGTTTTTCAAGTAAACGAAATCTTAATTCAGCATTTTGTAATTGATGATCGGCATCATTCGTATCTTGTGAAGCAGTTGTGGCTGATTTTGGACGAAAACGAACTCCATTTGTAATATGATTAAGATTTAATTCAGCACGCTAAAAATGATAGAAAATTTTTTGTTTTTTACTAACAAAAAGAAAAAATTTAAATAATATAATAACTTTAATTAAAAAAAAGTAAGATAGTATACTTTATTTAAACTTACTTCTCTTTCATCTTCTAAATTTTTTATTTTCAATGTTAACGATTTTAATGCTTGTAATAAATTTTCTCTATTACTTTCTGGTAATGCAGCTGTTTTTGATGGTGTCGATGATAAACGTTGATAATTTGAATTAATAAATGGTTTACGTGCTGGATATTCATAAAAACCAGATGTATCTGGTGATAAATCAGACCACATGTTACACACTTTATATTGTTAGTATGTCTAGAAAATAAAAGATAGATAAAAATATTTACTAGAGAACATTGTATTTCATTTAAATTTCAACAAAAAGATAACAATAAAATTTAAAATGATTGTCACGATGTAAATCTTTCTAAATATACTGAACTTTTTCAAATTGAGTTATGGTATATATGGGAATAAATTATTATTCTCTTGTCATTATTAGTTCTATTAAACTAACTAAACATATAACTTAATTAAAAGCAAACGAACAGATGATTCAAGGTTATTACTAATATATATTGGTTGAATCATGATGAAATAAGATTGATCTAAACTAATTTTAAAGATAAAAAGATGTTTAAGTTATGAAAGTCATAGCAATCAAGACAAAAATTCAGACTTTTTTATATTGAACAATATAAGTTAGTCATAGATTGTCTGTCTACCTTTTATTTCACATTCACTTGTAGATGATAAAATCGTGTCATATTTTTTTCTGGTTAAACAAAAAAAAAAAAAAGAAAAAAAATCAGTTTTAACTTAAAGAACAAGAAAATTAATGGTCTTTGTGGTTTTGTTCGTATGAACTGCAAAATATTTTGAATTATGTGACAAGAATTTATCAAAATAACACACCTTCAAATATTTTCGACGACGTATTCAATTTTCATTTTTCAATATGCATACATAATCGAAAAATATACTCAATTCTTTTGTAAAAGGTGAAAGATATATCGTCATATTAGTTCCAAAAGATAAATAAATAGACAAAATAGTTTATTTTTTTATGTCGTTTTATAGAATTAATATATATATATGTATATACTACGTCTACTTCTAAGTTAGAATAACAATACATGATAAAGAGACAAGATATTTATTCACATCTTTTTATTATTAACGGTTATTATTATAACTATGAGTGTTCAGTTGATGTCTTTTAATGCTTCTGATGTCTGCTGCTATATACCTGCACACACACACACACACACACACACACACACACTTGTTCTTTATTCCTTCTTTTTTTTTTCTCTTTCCATGAATAACATGTGAGTTCAATACAAAAAAAAACAAGAAAAAAGAAAAAAGAGTAATAAGTAAAATAGAAGAAAAGAAAAATATGTTTAAATGATTTTTGAAGTATGTGAAAAGAAAGAGAATAAGAAAATGTAATATAGAGCTACTTCTGTGACGATCGTTGCATGGGTAAAAGTATACTATTAAGATCAAATTCTGAAAATGAGAAGAAGAAAAAGAAAAAGAAAAAAAAAACTAAAAAATTAGCGTTTTTCCTCTTTTTCATGTTCTCTTTTGTATTACAGACATTTACCTCTGTCTCATTTCTCACACATTATAGAGAGTTGTTGCCTAACTACAATCTAATGTATATATATATATATACATGTATTATACTTTTATGAAACAAACTTGTTTATTATACAAGTGGATGTAACATAAAATCTCAGGATGAATGATGCTACTGGCGTAATTTGTATACAAGAATGTAGTTAGATAAAGAACAATAGGAGAAGTGTTCATTACATTTGTCAAAATATTTGCACTTTGTATGACATGATCTATAGTAAAAACACCTTCAGTTTAAAATTTTATTTAATCAATAGAAAAATATAGTATCGTTGCATTTCGACTTTACAACTTTTTTAAAACAACTTTTTTTTTTGTTTTTTTAAGTTTTCTACTTTATCTATCAGAATATTTAAATTTTATGTACTAGTCATAAAATAGTGTCTAATAGAAAAGTTTAACAAATCCTAATATATTAAACAGTATTAACTATCTAGTCAAAATCTATAGTGCATTGGGGAAAAACATAAGACATTTTAGAATGAACATTCTTATGAGTAAAAAAACGATACAATTGATGAAATAATAGATAATATAAGATCAACACACGCAATCTAAACTGTTTCTCTATCAAATATTGTCATAAACTATCTCAAAGTGTTAAAAATTTAATAATATGAATATTTGTTTTACACATATAGAATCAATAACTGTTGTTTTTTTTTCATTTAAATAATTCAAACAAAAAATTTGACAGTTTTCCTTTATGAATCGATTATTATTACTACTTTGGTATCAGTACTGATGAGTAATCATAAAACTATTTCGATTTTTACAAGGGCATCTTTTGTACATTCAGAGCTATCAAATTGGTAGAATGATGGAATAAGAATTTTTATAAGAATTTTTTTTTTATTAAAATGATCCATATATTGAAACAATATTATTTATTTATACAGTATCATTTATCTTTTGTTTTTAATTTCAATTAAAATCATTGGCTAATATATTTTGTTACATTTTTTGATTTATATACACGTATCAACTCGTACACTTATGACATTGAATCGAATATATATTTCAAATTTTTCCTGTACAGATTCTTATTCAACGAATAATATTTTTTTAACGTGAACTGTACAAGTAATAGGATTTTATCATTTCTTTTTTTCGTAAAATCTCATCGTCATATTGTCTACTATCTAGTAAAGTAACTGCATTCTACCACTTTATCAACTAAATTGATTTTCGTTTTTGTTTTTTTTATCTCATTCTCTTTTACTATCCGAAGTATAGTCTAAATTTAGAATGACGTAAGGAACAGATATCGTCCGTCCATTTTGACATATAAAGCAGATTTTTTTTTCTTTCGTATTAACCTTGCGATCTTATACATGTGTATGCTATTAACATCCATCCATCTTGTTAGAATATGTTTTTTATTTTTACCATATTATTCAAGTGAATAGTACGTGTTCTTGCAAATTATTACTCCACTGAGCTTAAATGTCTATTTCACATGAACAGAACTGTTTGACTTAGTAAAATTATTTTCTTTATTGTATTTCTTTGTGCTAGAAATCTTTATTGAAATATTTCATATAGAGTGGTGTGGGGCGAATCAAGAATAATTTCGCGATCATGCCAGTATTTGTTGAATACCTTTTTTAATCTTAG